TTGATAAGATCCCTTTTTTTGTTTTGATATGCTGGATTGCACTGATTGGTCTCTGTATGTTTATTTGGCCGAGATGGGAAGGTAGCCATCTTCTTATTTATTGTTGGTTTTAATTTGCTACTTTTTTATTGAGGAATTTTGTGTTTAATTTCATGAGAAGTTTTGGTCTGTAGGCTTTCTTCTTTTGTATTCTTTGTTTAGCCTTGGTTTCAAGGTAATAATGGCCTCAGTAAATAAATTAGGAATTGTTCTGTTTTCTGGAAGATATGTGTAAAATTGATGTTAGTTCCTCTTCAAATATTTGTGTGCTCAGTGAAGCCATGTCAGTGTGGAAGTCTTTTAGGGGGGAGCTTTTAAATTACAAATTGAATTTCTTTAATGGTTCTAGGACTGCACAGGTTATCTGTTTTATTTTGAGTTTTGATAACGTGGTATTCAGAAAAATATGGTCCATTTCTTCTAAGTTGCCTAATTTATAATTATATATTAGTATCTCAGTTATTCTTTTAAAGGCTACCAGAACTCTGCAATATCATCTGTTTCTTTCTGAAATTGGTGATTTATGTTGGGTTGTCAGAAAAGTCATGACATGTTTTTTTGTTTTTCAAGCAAAAACGTGTCATGACTTTTCCAACAAGCCAGTATATTCATTTTGAATTTGTCAGTCTTATCTTACTGTTTTGCTTTTTGTTTCATTGATTTTTCTCCATTTTAGTAACCTCAAAGGCTGAAGATCTGCAGATATCATTGTGTTTTTGTGTGAATTTATGTTCCTAAATGGTTTTTGTGTTATGTAAATAATTGCTGTATATGTTGACCACTAAATATTCATGGCTGTTAAATCTTTATGTCATGGAGATTCCATTAGAACTATGTTGAGTCATTCTCCAAATTATGTAGACCTAGTAGAAGGAGAACGGGATTGTTTAAGTTTATTTAGTTTTATTCTGACAATTCAGAACTCATAGCTCATGGAAAGAAGACAAGTAAAGAAACAGGTAATACTTCATGTTCCCAAGAATTTCATGTTCTTTATTGTGGCCACCAGGAATTAGTCAGGCACTGACCCAGTGAGAAGTCAATTATGCTAGTTTCCTCCTCTTTTTGGTCTATTGTAATTGCCTCTAACTTCTCTGCTGAACGTAGCCTTCTTGCTTGTGATCACTAGTGCTTAACCCCTTTCCCAGCGGTGCTGATGGACCCCAGTGTATCTCACCTTCCCTTTCCTCATCCCTTTCACTCTCACTTATTGATTCAGTGTCTTCAATGGCTAATGGTTCCGAATGCTCTTCTATTTTCTCTTTTTTGTTAACTGAGATAGCAGTTGATTATATGATTTGGAAGAGTAAGTTCACACCTCTTCTATATTTCAATCAGCTTTGGCAATTTATAATCTTTCTAGGAAAGCGGTTATGTCTCTTAGTTTTTTTCAGTTTTGTCTCCCTTTTCATTCCTAATACTGCTTTTTTTGTACTTTTGCACTTTTGTTCATTTCACTGCTCTTTGCAAATAATCAATCTTTAACAAGAATACTACAAGAACTGTACACCTTTATACAGATTCATCAATATTTAACATTTACTAAATTGGTTTAATCATTGTCTCTTTTGCCCAGTGCATGCACACACCCATAATTGTTTTTGAGCTGTTTGAAGTTACATATATCCTGTCTTACATAAGCCCTTAATACTTTGGTGTATTTTTCTTTAAAAACGGTTTTTTTTTTTAACATAATCACAGTCTAATAGTATTTAGAAATTAAACATACAGAACTTTTAATAAACAATCCACATTCAAATCTGTATTAATAATGTTCTTACAGCATTTTGTGTTCAGTATTTTGTAGTGCAACATCATGTAGCATTTACTTGTCATGTCTCTAATCTGCTCTTTCACATTTAAAGAATATTCACTCCCTCTTTTTTTCCTTCTGTGGTAAAGGAAGTAAAAACTTTAAGTCTAGTTTCTAACTGTACTTCTTATATAATACTATTTGTAAACATATAATTATCTACTTATAAGGTAGGAACTATAATAATTAACATGGTAGTTTAAAAGTACTTATTTAATTTTACTCTCCCAAATTTTTGGTTATTAGTGAAACAAAAATGCACTTATGACCCTATTTTCCTTGGTTTATTTTAAATTCTTCTGGCAAACAGTCCTCTATAAAATACAGCAGAATTTTTTTTCAGAAGATAAAAGTGTTAGAAATGGAAATCTTTTTTTTTTAAATGCTTCACTTTTTTTATTATTATTCATTTCTCCCTGTGACTTAAGGCACCTCTACAGCAAACAAAAACACAAAACAGAATTATTCAAATTATTGATTAATATAGTAATAACAAGCAACACTGTTTGCATGGGGTAAATACATCCTTTTACAGTAAATACATTTTAGGAAACTGGAAAAATGCAAAACAAAATTCTTCCAATCAACGATACTGGTTCTTCAATTTGAGAATTTCATCAATTCAGGAAAACTCTCATTCTCCTCTTTCTGAATATTGTCCCTACCAATTCCTTCTATTCCCTCCTCTGGAATCTAAGAAGATATATATTAAGACTTCTCATTTTATTCTTCACTTGACTTTACTTTTTAAAAAACATGCTTTCAATGTTTTTGTTTATATTCCAGAAATAAATATCATGCAAATGTGCGTATATGGCAGCAATTTATTCAAGCATTAACTCCCATTAAAATCAACAACTGTAATGATGTTTTATTATGTGGGCACAAAATAACAAGGGGGAAACTTAGCTGAACAAAATTGTGAGAGGCAGTCGTGATCGAAAGGAGCAGATCCTAAATTTTTCCTATTACATAAGTGTGTGTAGCATGACTCAAGAGAGATATTATATCATGATTGATGGTAAAAGAATGGCAAGATTCCATAGTATTAATGTTTGTTTAACCATTTACTTGAGGAAGGCCACATAGACTGATTCTAGTTTTGGGTGATATACCTACTGCTGGTGCCTCCCACAGCCTGAGTTTAGAAATTGAAATCTTTTAACTGCTATTAAAATTTACTAATCTAAGCTCCTCAAATCTGTTCACAAGCTCCTTGAAGGCATTGAGTACCTTCATATGGTATTCACGCTCATCCTCCTATGCTCAAAAAAAGATCTCACCTAGTATATAATGATTTCCTACTTCTCTTTTCTTTGCTACTTGAAGGGAATATCTTCAACCATTTTTTCACTTTCAATCTCTTTGTAATGTTGGATCTAAGGTGAGTTACTTCTAGACATGTAGTATGAATAGGTGTTTTTACTCATTCTACCAATCTGTCATTCAGTTAGATTAATACAGATGCATTTAATTACTGATACATAGGGATTTCTGTTAATGTATTACCATAGCTTATAACCTTCATTTCTTTCATTCCTATCTTTTGTGTTTAGTTGTCATTGGTAGCGAAATAAAATTTCTCATGAGATTTGCAAATAATTTTATTTAGGATTCTTTGTAATATTTCAATTCTCTTACTGTTTTTAAGATTCTCTTTCAATTTCGGTATCTTGAGTTTCAGTTGTTTTGGATATTTATTTTCATCTTTTATCAAATTTGGGGAGTTTTTAGCCATTGTTTCTTTACATATTATCTGCTCCCTTCTCTTTTTTTCTGAAACCCTCACAGTGTTTATGTTGGTTGGTGAGATGGTGTCGGTATAGGTCTTAGGTTCTATTGCTTTTATTCCACCTTTTTGTTGTTGTTAGGCTCTATTTGCTTTTTGTTAATCATTTTTCTTTCTCTTATGGAGACTTAATAATTTCTACTTCCCTGGCTTCAAGTTCACTGATGCTTTATTCTGCCTGCTCAATTCTGCTTTTGTATTCCTCTAGTAAATTTTTCATTTCAGTTATTGTACCTTTCAGTTCCTGGATTTCTTCTTGGTTTCTTTTTAGGTTTTTTATCCTCTTATTGTTATTTCCATTTTGTTCACATATCACTTCTTGATTTTCTCATATTCTCTAGTTCTTTGAAATCTTTAGGATAGTTTTAAAGCCTTAGTATAGCAGATCCGCTTCAGATCTTTTTCAGGGACAGTTTCTGTTGATATTTTGTCCTTTTCAGTGAGCTATACTTAATTGTTTCTTGTATGCCTGTGTTGTTGTTGAACATCGTGCATTTGAATCTAATAGCATGTTAACTCTGGAAATCCCTCTTCTCCAGCATTTGCTGGTTTCTGTTATTATTTTTGGTTGTAGACAGTCTCGATGATCAGCTTGAATTGTAACCTAAAGGTCTGCTCTGTCTTTCTGAGCCTTTCCCTGGAGACTTACACAGCCACTTTCTGACATTTATGTTGTTGTTTCTGACTATCCCGCTCTTTAATGTCTGGCTCCCAAAATGAGAAAATAAAAAGGCCTCTGACCCTGAAAAGTCATTTCATTCTGATAGTAAGGACTTACAGTTATGGGGGAAGGTAAATCAACAATACCTGGCATTTTTGTCTGCACCTCTCTGATTAAAAGCAACAATCAGAGATCAAAGCACAGTTCCCTGATATTTGGAGGGCAGGGCCCTTTTTACCCACCTTGACCCTTTAGCTGTTTGCAAGCTACTTCAGAAAAACTGGTGTACGTGTGTCTGCCAAGAAGCTTGGAATGTGGAATGGATGGGTAGTTATGTGCTAATAGATAAAATTTACCATAATTTACTGCTTACTTCTTTCCATGGAAGTTACAAGCTTTTAACAGATTACATCTCCAACATAGTTATATTAGAGAGATTCTGCCACCTCAGGTGATGTGTAGGTGGTACGTCAGAGTCCTATTGCTTGGTACTCTGCCACCAGAATCCTCTTAAATTCCATCTTAATATCTGTAGAGTGACTTCATGACATAGATTAAGTAGCAAGATTTCTGCATTAATATATGGGGGAATTTTTATATTAAAATACAGTAACTTTTCTCACCTGTTTGTGTTTAAGAATTATATGAGATACATTTGATATATATGTGTTGTAATTTTGATATTTAACTTTTGGCAGGTGGTTTTGGAATGTATGCTTAAAAAAGACCTTATTTACAATAAGGTCACTCCAACATTTCACCACTGGAAGATTGATGACAAGAAATTTGGCCTTACCTTTCAAAGTCCTGCTGATGCAAGGGCTTTTGATAGAGGCATTCGAAGAGCTATAGAGGATATTTCTCAAGGTATGTTTTCTTTATTTATCAGCTATTCATAGTACAGTATAGTGACTTCAAGCAAGTCAGCTTTTGTGTTATGTGTGTAGGCCTTAAAAGCTCACTGTAGGTGAAGATAAAATAATGGGCTTCTGAGTCTGTTTTATATTTCTCACATCACAGTTTATACCAAGTGCATGTATTATCTTGAAGGGCCATTTAACTGCAGGCTTCAGATAATTCAAATTATTTTCAAATAAGAACTTGAAGAAGAGGGAAGGCATCAGGTAGAACTTTTCAAAGTCCCAGTGAGGCTTTCCATTTATGTATGTTAAAGCAGTCATATCCTTGTTTTGTAATGATAGAGAAAATGTCCCAATAAACAAATACATGTAAGTTGTGGTTATTCTGTGGTAAAACTCTTCCTCTCTCAAAGTACCTGATTTCATTACGGAAGATTGGCAGAGCACCCAGGCTCATCTTTTGTATACCCTTTGCGTATCTTGCCAATCTGTTAATATTATTAACTCTAAAGCATGCAAATTTTAAAAGGAGGAAGAATGTATTTACGTGTAAGACCAGCCTCTATGCAATTAAAACAAAAAGAAATTACATTAAAATCCATTTCTTCCTAAGAAGGATGTAGTAACTAGAATTTGATTTGTTTTTCTGATTAAGAAGACTCTACTAATTGAGATAACCTTCTTTATAAAGTAAATGAATCAAAATGTGCTATACAACAATGTGATTTGTATATTTTGAAGACAGTATTGTAGAAAATTTAAAGAACTGAACTAATTAAGAGCCAAACCACATGCAAGACTATGGAAATGCTTAGTACACATTTGTATTGATAATACATAAAACTGGGGTTAAATAACTTATTTAATTTGCTTTAAAAAATTAGAATTCGGTAACATTGATTTCAGTTTTAGAAAATTCCATAAAATAGTCATTTTTTTTATAAGAACCTATATAAATTGTCCATAGATTTCGACGTTGGCTGCACATGTGAATTATCTGGAAGGCTTTTGAAAATTAAAGTAACTGGTCCCCACTATAGACAACTTCATCTGTTTTTAAAAACTTCCCGAATAGTTAAAATGTTATAAGAAAGTATTCTCCTAGTTGAATGATTATATTATAAATTGGGAGGTGGGATAAAGTGAATACAGATACATTGAATAGCAATGGTTGTGGTTCTTAAATCATAATAAGAAACTTATAAATTAAAAGTTGCAGGATGCCTAATTCCTCACACCTCAGAGATTCTGACATCATTGGTTTGAAAATATACTCTGGCATTAGAATTATTTTAAAAATACTCCCCAGTTTATCCTGATTTTTAGCTAGGTTTGAGAAACTGATGCTTTAAAGAGAACATCGATATCCATGGCCACTGGAATTTAAGTTTTGAGGTAAATTTAAACTCACCCTCATGTCCCTATAAGAGTGTGCTTTGTTCAGGATCAAATAGAACGAGCTTAATGTTTTAAAAGGACACTTACAAGAAAAAGCCTAAAAAGACATTGGTACTCATCCCGTCTCATTATTTTTGAACTTTAAAAAAAAATACTCGTTATTATTAACCACTGCATAGACTTTCAATGATCCCATCAAATTTCTCTTAACTTTCCTTGATAATAAACAATGCTACCCTTTCCAAAGGGTAGGTTCTTTCTGCTAGTTTTGTCTTTTAAGTCTAACAAACTCAGAAGAATTTGCTAGAATAAATCCCTTCATCATTTATCAATATTAAAGGCACTCTTGAATACCATGAAAACCTTATAGAGACATTGATAGCATCATGATCAATAGCAACAATTAGCTGTTGACAAGAATGGATTAGTGGTCACTTGTTTTTCTTTGTTTTGCTAAAGTACCTTAAACCCTAGTTCTGGGTATTAAATACTGTTTTTGGGTGAGACTATTTAGAAAAATTGACTAAATTATATATGGACATTACGTAAACACACAGAGGTTTGTGGTGCATATAATCTGCCTATAATTTTGAGTCTTTTGAGACTTTTGAGAAATCAAGGATAGGACTTGCTGTAGAGAGTGCACCTTCACAAAGAACATCTTCTTTAGTAGGGGAAAAAAAAAAACCTGTAGGAAAAAACTCATTACTTTATTGTCTTAACAAGCAGAAAATATAAGTGGTCAATATCTGGCAGGCCAAAATGATCTCTAAGCATTTCTAAAGTAATATAATGACATACTCAATTAGTTGGCAAAACAAAATACAAGTCAAAAATTCTATGCTTAATAAACTTTTTCCTCTTTTCTTAGGTTGCCCAGCATTAAAAAATGATGCTGAAGAAACTGAAGATGATTTACAAGTAAGTAGTTTGGCTTGAAAGGGATTTCTAAACTTAGAGACGGTGGAGGAAATCCCAACCTTGAAAAATAGAACAACTCATAGAACTTCTAAAGAAAATTTCTAAGACACTGTCAATTTCCATAGTACAAGTGGGGGATGGGATGGTGTGTGTGTGTGTGTGTGTGTGTGTGTGTGTACGCCTGCATATACATATTTTTATACACATAATATGTATATATGTTTCTTGCTTGAGTTGATGTCACAACCTTGTGCAAGAAGGCATTCTTCAGGCGAACTTCCTCTTTGGGAGACCTCAGTCTTGTCTTTTTATGATGAAGTCTACCTCTTAATGAAGAATAATCTCTTTTGCTCTTTTAAAATATTAGTCACATCTGAAATCACCTTCACAACATTTAGACTGGCATCGCTGAAAGCTGGGCAGTATTTTTAAATATGTATGGTGGTTATGGATGTTAACATATTCCTGTTCTTTTCTTTATACTTTGCTGTATTTCTTAAATTTTCAAAAATAAGCATTTTTCTTTTCTCATTTTAAATGCACATAAAACCTTTTGTTATTACTTTAGGTCACAACTATTATTAAAATCTTATGAGTAATGTAATATTAATAGAAGATTCACATACAAATTTGGTTTCCTTTGCTATTATCCTGAGTATTAATAATAATTGCAACAAACTTGAAAAATGCTAAAAAAGAAAGCCATATAAACTCAGAAGCCCACAATGCAAAAGAAATCCAAAAAAATTAACATTTTCATTGAGTAAAAATAGCACCATTTCATTTTTGTTTGTTTTTATTACTCAGTATATTCCAAATGCAAAAGCAGTAAAATTCTTATGGTTGCACCGTGAAGATATAAATTAATTCAGTCATTCCCATTCTCTGATTTTAAAAAATAGCTTTTTTTAATTATTAATATTTTTTATGCTCACAGATCTTTCTCTAAAATTTTTTCTGCATCACTATTTCCTAAGTATAGGTTACTGGAAATTGATTCCATCAGAAACATTCATAGGCATGAATGCTATGTCATGAAGACACTCAAACAACTTTATAGGGACGTCCCATGTGTTGAAGATATAACCATGTTATTGAGTGACCCTGGAAGCAAGTCATTCATCCTCTAATAAGCCTGTGGATGACTGCAATGACCATGACTGGTATCTTGACTCATTAGTGGTTGTGAGTCAGAAACACCTAGTTTAGCTGTTTTTAAATTTGTGATTTATAGAAACTGTAAAATAGTAAATGTTAACATAAGTCATTAATTGCAGGGTTATTTATTAATAATAAAGATTTTAGTACCTGTTACAAGATACTGCCATAACAAATACTTTAAAGTGTGGGAGCAACTTTGAATTGAGTTAGTGGATGAAAACTTGAATGTTAAATCTTTGAGGAGACTGCTAGTAAGGGTTTAAAAGAAAATGAAGAAAACCATGTTAGAAACTGGGAAAAAAGGGAATCATTGTTATGTAGTGACAGAAAGTTTAGCAACACTGTCACATGTGGTAATGTGGGAAGTAAATAGAAAATGTATCCAATGACCTGGGTGATCCAGCCATGGAGATTTTTCAGGCAAAAGATTAAAGATGTTGCTTGGTTTCTTCTTTCTGCTTATGGTAAAACTGGAGAAGGAAATAGCCTAAGGAAAGGCTCCTAAACAAAAAGGAACCAGGACTTGCTGGTTTAGAAAATTCACAGCCTCTCAATATGTCAGACTATGCTAACATTAGGAAATGGCTTTCAGGCAAAGATCAAATCAAGGTCACTCAGAATAGCTTTGTCTGAAGATGAAGTCCAGAGTTAGACTATAAAATCCTTTGTTGAGGCCCCAGGAAGCTCTGTGGTTTACTTCAGACAACATTCGGTCAATGTAACAAGGCTTAATAAGTAAGTTTAAGGATATCTGTTAGGAGAAATTTAGAGAAGAGTTTCTTATCTGATTTGTGAGTGCATTTTTTGTTCTAGTGGGATGAACCCCAATAAGATTCATAAGAGACTTACAGTTTTCAAAAGAATTATATTGACAGAAATATCACCAACTTGGACTGAAGAGAGACCTTTTGGATCACCAAAATTCTCCTGGCAGAAAACAAGTTGAAAGGCAATGAGCTTTTGAACATGAATTACCTTTCATAACATGGAAGGATGACTCAGAAATCAGAACCAAAATCTTAAGGGAAGAACCAAGAGCTGTGAAGGATTAATTATTCTCAAGATCTGCCTAAATTCTATTCAAGGAACTTCTGAAGTGTTCACAATGTGATTTCAGAATTACTTTGGATCAATGACTCCATTTTTTCCTCCCATTCTCTCCTATTTTAGACAGTAAGCGGTTCTAACCCTCTGCCTGTTCTGCCATTGTATTTTAGGTGTGTGGGGGCAGATAATTTGTCTCTTTAGTTCACAGTTCTTCAAATTGAAAGGAACTGTATTTAAAAGGAACTGTACCCAAAAAGTTTCATCTATAGGTGGACCTATTTAGACCCTGGATTTGAAATTGTTGCTATATAGGGGTGAAAATTTTGGGTAGTCTTGGAAGTGGCGTTGAGTGTATTTTACATATGAGAAAAATGTAAATATTGTCCAGAGAGTAATGGTAGTGGTTTTAAAATATGTCCACAGATTCTTTTATACTCCTCTTAACTCTAGTCAAATTCCCCTTTCCTTGAGTGTGGGCTATACTTAATAATACTTCTAATAAATAGAGTGTGACATAAATAAGAGTAGGTTGTAAGAAAATTTGTGACTTCTGTTTTGTTCTCTGTCTTGAACCACTTAGTTTGGGAGCAAGCAGCCTGCTACTATATGAAAGGACATTTAGCATTCTTTGAAGAGATCCATGTGGTGAAAAATTGAGGCCTTCTGCCAACAAGCAAGAAACTAGGGCTTCTAACAATAGCTGTGTGAGTGAACCATCTTAGTCCCTAGGACCAAATAAGTCTTTAGATAATTGTAGCCAAGGCCAAAAATTTTACTCCAGCCTCACAAAGGGCTGTAAACGAGAACCACTCAGCTAAGCTGCTCCCAAACTTCTCACTCACACAAATTATGAGATGAATTTTTTTGTTTGAATCTGCTGTTTTGTGACAATTTATTATATACCAATAACTGATATACTAGCAGAAAGGAAATTTTTAATTAAGATGAAAAAGTACAAAATCTGACATTTGTGTGCTTATTTAATCCTGCTCACCTTCCCATTCCCAACTTTCTTAGAAGATACCTAGTTTGGGCCAAATTCCGTCTTTAAATAGAAGGTGGAATTATATATTGGTTTTATAACTTCCTTATAACTGAAAGTATGTTCAAATAGAAAAAATAGTTATAGTCTTTATTAGTTTAAAATATATATATTATATACTCTGAGCCTCATTATGTAATAATATATTAGCATTAGCTATATGAGAAGGGGGGGAATACTGAGATCTCAGAAAATGTGTGAGATAAAATTTTGTGAACATCCCATTTGAAATGTTTAAAAAAGAATCAGTATCCAGAATTAAAACTGCCAAAGAAAAAATTCAAATTTACCTTATTTCATGATATGCCAAAGTTTTTATATGTTACTCCTGTTTTGGAACTCGGAGGAAGTAGTGATTATGTTTAGATCATAAATGACCTGAAGACATTAAATAGAGTGGAATGGAAATTCTTTTTTGAGTATTAATTCATTCACCATATATTTGAACACCTATTCTTTTTCTATAACTATCCTAGACATGTGATTTGTTGAGGTACAGCTTTCTGCTTTTAACAATTCAATGTCTTTAGTTAACTATAAATCACCAGAAAATATTTACCTTTGAAGGGCTTCATAACACATAGTCAGTTGGATTTAGGATCATATCATGCTCATTTTTTATGCCTGCTCTTTACTACAGTATTGATCACATACGTAGTTGGTACTCATGAAAGATCTTTTTAAAGAAAAATCTTCAAAATTAAGACTTTAAAACTTGTGTACTAACAAGTATGAATGTTTTTTTCATTTGATTCCTTTTTTTGACTCTTAATGAACCAACTGAGGTTTTTTAAAAATGCTAGCTTATATTTAAGATATTTTTTATACTGTTTTTTCCAACCAGTGTTGTCCGTTACATTTATAGTTTCTCCTATTTAGATATGCTAGGTTGGTAAAACATCCCATAAAATTTAACTCTCGAAGTGCTTGCAGTTATAAGAGGGAAAGATTTCAGAGTTCATGGTTTTGGGCAGGAGAAAGATGAGACCTAATTTATCTGATGTAGAAGTAGTCATATATCCTCTCTTGTCACTGAGAAGTACTTGACAAATTCATTTTTTAAAATTTTAGACTATATAATGTCCTTTTGAACCACAGTAATTAAAAGGTTTGTGATTTACATGTACTGTGTCAAGTAATTTTGTTTTAGGCAGGGAGAAACTGCTTATTTTTACAGGCGGTGACATTTTACTGAGGCTCTAAATCTGAAAACTGTTAATAGATAGGCTTTATATTGCTGTGATTTACCACTAGTCTACATTACTGTCCTAAAGTCAAGTTGCAAAAATCCTAGTATATTTTAGGTTGAGTTTTATGTATCTAATAAAGTAGCAAAAAACCCCTGTGTAACCTTTTTCTGCAATGTTTACTGTATAATTTCTCCCTTGTTTCTGTATTAGTCTCTGAGACTGATATGTCTTCATGTATAATATTTAGATAGAAAACAACGAAGAAGTCATAAGCATTTATCCTTTTGCAGACATAACCGCTATTAATATTTTGACACTTAGGTCTTTTCCTTGTTCTTGCATGTTGTATTCAAATACATACATCATTTTAAAAGCAATCTGAAGATCAATCTCTTCCTATTTTGATTGTGTTTTGATAGTATTGTTTTTTTGGTGGTGATGATGGTTGGCCTTTAAGTAGTATAAATCATAAAATTTGAACTTACACAGTCTTTGAATTTAACTTTTATATTGTACTGCAGTTCATTTAACCATTCACATTTTGCTGAACATTTATTTTA